AAACTACAGCAACCACAACAATACCAACACCAACAACACCGCCAACAACAACACCATCAACAGCAACACCACCAACAAGAACAATACCAACAACACCACCACCACCAACGACAACAGCAACAGCAACTGCAACAACGACACTAACAACAACAACACCACCAACAACAATCACAACTACAACAACATCAACGACAACAACAACAACCACAACAACAACAATACCGCCAACAACAACAACGTCACCACCAACAACACCACCAGCATCACCACCAACAACAACAACGCCAACAACAGCAATAACAACTCCATCATCAACACCAGCATCAACATCAACACCGCCACAAGCAACAACAACACAAACAACCACAACAACAACAAGAACAACAACAACAGCAGCAGCAACAACAACAACACCACCAAGAACAGCAGCAAGTGTTCTGCCAGAGCCTCTGGGCGGCCCGCCGAGTCTTTCTTGGAGGGAACGGCAAGGTAACACGCGCTCCAGACACGCCGACGGCAAGCACTTACGCCGCAAGACGGGGGCTTCTCACGAGACCTCTCTTGGCGAGGGGCGCAAGCAGGTGCTCGGCGGCGACGATAGGGGCGAATAGTGAGCCAGGGAGCCTTGTCGAAGGCATAGATCACCGGCGCACCTGAATACTTGCATTGCTCTCCTCTGGGCTATTCGCCCCGATCGTCGCCTCTGAGATGCATGTGTGAGTGTCGCAGTTGTGTGCTCCGCCTTCGGTCGAGCTCTGGGGCCCTCGGGGCACCACAGCCACAACCAAATGCGTGGACATGTCGCGGGGGCTCCCCAGCCACCACCGTGTCAATGTTGAGCTGCACTGTCAGTGCCTCGCACTCCTGGGGTTCTGCTGTGTTCCTGCTCGTTGACGTGTGTCACTTGTGCGTAGCTGCACTGTCAATGCCGCGCTTTCCTGTGGCTTTGCTGTGTTCCTGCTCGATACGCACACCGCCAAAGGCGGCGGAGAACTTGAGAGATCCACCTACCAAAAGTGTAAGTGCCGCAGTTGTGTGTTCCACCTTCGATCGAGATCTGGGGCCCTCGGTGGAGCTCCCTCTATGGCGCCACGGAGCGCGCGAGGGGTGTGCCGAAACGGGTGCGGCGGCACCATGCGAGCCCTGCCACTGGGGCAGTATGTGGAGCTCTCTATGGCGCCACGAAGCGCGTGAGGGGTGTGTCAAAATCGGCGCGGTGGCGCCATGCGAATCCTGCCACTGGAGCCTTCGGTGGAGCTCCCTGTGCGGCCACGGAGCGTGTGAGGTGTGCCGGAATGCGTGCGGAGGCGCCATGCGAACCCTGCCACTGGGGCCTTCGGTGGAGCTTCACATGGGGCCACGACGCGTGTGGGGGGCATGTCGAAACAGAGACACGCCGAGGGCAAAGGTAAGGAGGGGGAGGAGGGCAAAAGGGGGGGGAGGAGGAAAAGAGAGGATGAAGGAACGCGGGGCGCTGTCTCTTCAAAACGAGGACCCAGCACCACACAATGGTTGGAAAAAGCCTGTGCGGTCGGGCACCTGTGCTTAGCGTGTCGCGGCTGCAGCCCCACCGGCACGCTGTGCCTGGCGAGCGGTAGCGTGTCGCTCCGCTCCGCGGGGCGGGAGGCTCGGAAAGGTTCGGGACGCTGGCCCTTAGAAAGGGGGACGCGGATAGCGTGTCGCGCCGACGCGTGGCGGGCAAGAACCAGCGGAGCGACACGCTAAGCCAAAGTTCCTGACTGCATTTCAAGCAAAGGAATTCGGCTGCCCAAACAACAAAAAATCGGCGGCCCCCGCTTGCTCCCCCCTTCCCAAGAAGCCAAAATCGGGTTCAAGTGAAGGCAGCGGCGAGGGGGGCGGGTTGGACGAGCTCGTCAGCGCACCTCCAGGGCCCTCGGAGCCTCCTGATGCCCCAAATGCCTTACTAGATTGCTCGAAAGAGACTCCAACCCTCCGACGAGCCTGGAGAGCACCTGGGATGGCCTCAGCATGGTCCAGGAGGCCTCCACGATGCTCCAAGAGAACCCCATGAAAGACTCGACAGGCAAACATCCGTGGTGTCGCATAGCGCGTCATTCCCCCCATGGTTTCGCATGCTCGCTTTTCCATACTCATGCGTTCCGAGGCAGTCCGCGAGACCGCCCCAAAAACCGAGCCCATGACAATCCAAGACCGGGCCCATGACGAGACCCCCAAGAGGGCCCAAGAGGCCCCAAAGCCTGCCAGCCAGGCCCTCACGATGGCCCCAAGAGGGGCCTGACGGAGGCCAGAGAGCGGGAAATCGCAGAAGCCCCTATGACCCTTCCCTACACGATGGCCCTCAAGAACCCCAACATGCCTCCAAGAAGCCCCCAAGAAGCCCTCAGAAAAGCCCCCAGGAGCCTTGAACAAGATCCCACAACGCCCTCCAAGGGGCTCCCGAGAATACCCTCAAGAGACGCGGAGGAGGATGACAAGTCAGCAACAGCTACACGCAGACAGCACGACGGGAAGAATAATTATCACATACAAAAACGGAAGCCGCACACATCCTCTTCTGGGGGTCGGCGGGAAAGGCGTAGGCACCTTGTGTGAGGCGGCGGCACCTAACAACTAGTGTTCACAAGTATTGTTCCTGAACGGGGAGAATAGAACGAATACTGCCTGAACAAAACATGTGTTTCTAACTCAGCGGTGTTGAAGATACACCGTCGACGCTCTGCCGCCCAGTCTCGGGGGAGCCTCAGGCAGCGAGAGCACCACGGGCTTTTCCTTGGGCCGCACTGATGGGGGCGCCCTTAAGCCCCACTGATAGGGGGTGCTTCATCAACGCTCACGCGGTCACCCACAGCCAACAATCAACGTGCGGTCTGGCTTGCACAGGGACGGACGTGCACTGCGCAAGGAGGCGGGCCAAATGAGTTCAACATTGCTTTAAAAGGGTTTCGACCCCCGATTCCACGGTGTGAAGCATAGCAAATGCAAATGCCAGGAACTGCTGGAGGATTAATAATGTGGAATCAGGGATCAGGCAAAACTATTGCGCAAAGGAGGGGGCTACGCACTATCGAAGCAATTGCTTTGACCTCTGCCCCTGCAAGCCTTGCCCCCCAGATCAAAATGCCCACCTCCGTAACGCCACCGACTTCTCTAGGGCTGATCAAATATTTCGTAGCGAATTCCCCAAATTGTACTTGCACTCAGGCGTTGTGCCGGACCTGAAATCAGGTCGGGCATGTCCCCCACAGGCGGATTTTGGACGGAACATGAAAGATTCCTAAACAGTGCACCAAACAGATCTCAATATACTAAAGAAATCGTCCCCAAACTATTTTTCCAATGTTTGAATATTCCCCGTGTAGAGGGACATGCCCGACTTAAACCCGAAACCGAGGGCCGCACTTGCAGGAGGCCAACTGGAATCCTTCTGTGTCCCTGCTGCTCCCCCCAGCTGCGGGCCCTGCATGCCACACTGCTCGGTGGCCGCCCGAATGGACTCTCCTAGAGGCAACTCCGGACGGATTCCGATGCGCTCCCCGTGCCTCTGGTTCTGCGTGCCGCGCTTGCTGGTGACCGCTCGTGCCTACCTGCCAGACAACCCCAACCCAACCCGAAAGCCCGGATTTCGGGTTGGGGCGGGGGTATGGGCTCCTTGTGTGTTTTTTCGATGTTCCCCGAGCCCCCCCCCTGGGAATGGAAGGCAAATTGATGCCTTCGGGTTGCGTTGGGATGGTATGGTGGGAGGTGAGCTTGCATGCATGCTCATGGTTTCCTGTGGCTCCCCCAGTCCTCCCCCGCTGGCCGTGTGTGCCGCACCTACCCTGGGTCGCTTGGAGTATGATTTGGTTCCCAGGGATGCTGGCCTGGGTGCCCGCACTGGGCCCCAGTGCTGGTCCGGACGGCTCTTCGCATCCCGTCGCCGCCGCCCGTCGCCGGCAATTGCACTCGTCCACTTGCATTCGTCCACTTGCATCGCATAGCATAGCATAGAATAGTATAGCACACCATGGCACAGCTTGCCTCGGCTTAGCATAGCGTAGCATAGCTTAGCTTTGCACAGAAGGGCATCGCACAGCGCATAATAGCATGGTGAAACCTATGTGGTGCGACTTAAGCTTGCACCGCACCGATTGCATTGCGGAGACTACCCCGCATTGATTGGCACTGCATGGACTGCACTGCGTAGATTGCACTGCGTAGGCGGCCTCGCACATATCAGTTAGCAGAGCGTACTAGAATACACGGATTGGGGTCCGCGCTGGCTAGTTAACATCTTCTCGGTTCCTAAAGACTTACATGGCTTCCCCCTCCAGCGGCCCTGTGTACCACACTTTCCGGTTGCCAAATGTCCATGACTTCCGCTTGGTCCCCCCCCCAGTCCTGAGTGCCGCACTCTCAGGCATCCGCTTGGGTTCCCATGGGCTACAACAGGTCGTCAAGGACTTCCCGGAAAATTCAAGAGGAGTTCTGGGCGGCGCCAAACAGATTGCACCGCATTGACAGCACGGCTTGTATGATTGCCCGCCATGGACGGCGCCGCAATGGTTACACTGCGCAAGTTGCAACCCATCGGTTGAACCTCAGATATGGCATCATAGATACTGTGCCGCATAAGACTGCCCCCCCACAGGTTGGACCCAACAAAATATATACACACACACACACGTGTTGCACATACTCGCTGTCTGGAGCCAATGCGCAGGCAACATGCTCTTTTGGTATTTCGCGCCAGGCCTTCGTCCCCACCGCAGCAAGTTGCGGGCAATCGCCGCTCCTGGTGAGACTGTAAGACAACACGCTCTGCCGAAACACTTCCATTATGTTGAAGCGGTCAACGCGCACTGGCAGCCACGCCAGGCTCGAGCACCGAGCGGCAGTGCTGGGTGAAACTTGCTTGCAAGAAAAAACATAAAGAAACAGCACGTCGACGCACAAGGTCTGGCGGCGGCAACGACGGGCAGGCCCAATGCAACACTCCGAGGAGAACTTGCGCCCGCTGCCTGTGCAGCCGTCTGAGAGCGCTACGGAGGCCGAGAGGCTGCAGCGACTGGCGCCAGAGCTTCCCCTGCAGCAGGGCCTGCGGGATCGCCTGCCAGAAGCCTGCCAGCCTCCCCCTCGTCTCCGTGCGGCTGCCGCAGAGGTACCACAACGTCCCGCAATCTCCTGATGTGCCCCGCCCACTCGTCCCGCGGCACAGACTTGCCCCCAAGCTCGAGCTTGTAGTCCATCTCCTGTGGCGAGGCAACATACATACGCACTCGTGCCTCCCTCCTCCTCCTCCAGGGGAGGGAGTGCGAGCATATGCTGCGTCTTGCCCCAGGATCTCCATACCCAGATCCCAGATCTCGAAGCCACAGCGCTCCAGCCACCGCCCCAACGACGCCAACTGCACGGACCCTGCGCCAGGAAACTGCTCCTTAAGGGCAAAGCCCGTGCAGCTGCTGTAGACAGCCCCACACGTGTACCCGATCTCTCCCGCGACCAGCTCCCCGGAAGCCTTGTGCCACAACTCCACGGAGTGGAACGAGATCCGCCACCCGACCCCCCGCGACGCTCAGCGCGTGGCGAGAATGCCAGGGCTTGCGCTGCGGCGGGTTGCCAGTGTCACGGAAGGGGCCAGTCCCATCTCAGGCGCATCAGCCTCCACGAATCGCCATCCCACCCCACCCTACGACGACGACGAGGACGACGACCTCCAGAGGTCACTGGAAGTCGCCCGAGGTCCCAGAAGCCTCTTGAGATCCCCCAAGCCCAGGGAGACCCCTGGAGTTGCGGAAACGTCCAGAAGCCCCGATCCGAAGCTCGCGAGAGCCAAGCCCCCGCACCATGGCCGCACGCCTTCGACGCCTGCCGGTTTACGGGTCTGCCTCAGGCCTCCAACGGCTGTTCGGGACGATCAGGGCACACCCGGAAAACTCTCGACGTGGCGCAACTCCTGGGAAGCATCCCGAGGCGAGAGAACCTCCGTGAACCAGCGAAAAACTTCCGAAACCATTACCTCCGCAAACACCCACACACACACTTACACATCAGCGCGGTGGCGCCAGCGCATCTGGATACCCTCCCGGTGCCACTTCCCGCTTACGCTGTTGGCGGCCTGGTAGACCTGAGACAGCTCGTCCGTCAGCCAGCAGTCCCCCTTCCGGTTGGTGAAGGTGTGCTTCTGGACCCCGCGATTGGCGGGCCCCCCAGAGGGGCCAGGAGGAGCCCTGGGCACAGCCAAGAAGGACCCCCCAGACGAAAAGAGACCACTCGACATGAGCGACGCAACATGCAAACGTCCCACGCGCGATGACACAGCCACCTTACGCGGTGGCTCACGCAGGCTGCCAGCACGGCAGAAAAGCGTGGAGAGGAGGCGCTTACGCGAGACCCTACGCGCGAGTGTCGGCGCAGTCGAAACCGAGTTTTCTTCGTCGCTCAAATGGCCCACTCTGGCTGCTTTTGGCGCCTCCGGAAAACTTCTGGCCGCCCCCGGACCCTGTGGCCCTCGATAGGTGGCCTGCCAACCACGCATCTGGACGCTCTGGACGACCACGTGCCACGCCTGGTTGAAGGTCAGCTGAAAGTCCTTGGCGCGCCGTCGCACCTTCCGACCCACGTGCACGGAGCCTGGCTTGATGACCGGGCGGGCGGCAGCGAGGGTGCGGAGCGACTGGGCCGGGCATTGGGTGGCAACTGCCGAGGTGTCGCCGTGAACGCGACCCTGCCAGATTAGGCTGGATGATGGTCCCACATCAACTGTGGTAAGCTGGACTGCGCTGTTCAGACAGGATTCGGCCGCACCAAAAACCTACCAAGACCGGAATAGCACGACGGAAAAACCAAGGCCGAGGCTCAGTTCAACCTCCGAGGAGTTGCAGCCCAAGGACCGCGGGCCATGCGGATGTGCATGCTCCGCCACACGCGCGTCCCAGAGTAGTACTCCGACGGTGGGATCCCGCATGAGAACTGAATCAGGCTGGAAGTAGCCCTCGTCGTCGTCCTTGTGATTCCGCTGGCTCTGTCTGTGTCTCGCTCTCTCTTACTTCCTCTCGCCCTGGAGGAGGCCCTCCTCCCGCCCCTTGCTTTGCCAAATCCTCATCCTCCTCCTCATCCACCTCCTCCACCGTCAGAGGGGGCTTGGGGTCCTTCCGCGGCAGGCGAGTCGATTTCCCCAGCTAGGTCATCAGACTTCGTGCCGCGAGCCGCGCGGCTATCGCTCGCGCGACTCGCGCCGCCCCTCCCGATGAACCGCAGCTCGCCAGCCCAGCCAACGAGCCGTGACACGCCGCTGGCATCCCACGGCCCTGCGGATGACACAGTGCAGACTGCCGCCTGCAGGCCGCATGGAAGCAGGCAGAGGCCGCACGGTCGGGAATTTGCACTTAGCGTGTCGCGGCGGCGGCCCCGGCGACACGCCAGGCCCTGCGAGCGGACAGCGTGTCGCGAGCGATACGCTGTCCGAATGTTTCCAACCGCACTCGGCAAGGCGGATGCAGCTATCGAAGCAGGAGGGCGCGTAACGCAGACTGGGATCTGGGAGTCCAATAAGTCCAATAACACCTGCTCTCAACATAACGACCTGCAGACACGTACCCAACGCATGAAAAATATACGTCATGATTGCCCTGTGGCTCCGCGTTCAATGCCCCTCATCGCCGCCCATCCGAGATGAGTAAGCACCGCTCCAAGTGAATTTTCGGCAGGAGCATGCCGCCGCCGCCCATGGGCAGGAAGCCGTGCCACACGAGCAGGTGGACCAGCTTGCGCAGCCGATCGTCGTCGTGCAAGCTCACCACGAGAAACTCACCTCCGTCGGGCAGGCCGTTGTCCACGAGCCGGGGAAGGATCTGGTCGAGGTCTTCAAGGGCCATCCCAGGCGGTATCAGCGCCATGCCGCCAGCACTGCCGAGGCAGTCGCCAGATTCGAAGAGAAGCAAGCGGCGGCGGCAGTGGCCCCTGGACCAGGCATCTGAAGAAGCGGCTGCAGGAGGCGGGGGCAGCGGTGCCCCCGCCGAAGCACGCTGGAGCTGAGCTTGCGCACTAACAGCTTTCAGGCACTGCTCGAATGAGGTGCGACTCCAGCGGGGAAGCGCCCGATCGGCAGAGGCCCACGGCGCCTGCGAGCAGCGAGGGGGGGGGCGTTCGGCTTCTGCGGCCTCGGTTCGCGCTATCCCTCCAGTGCGAGTTCCGCCAGGGGGGCGGAAGCTGCGGCCCATCGGGGGACCCCCCCAGAACCCCCCAGGGCGGTCAAAGAGACACGCCGAATGATGACTCACACATGCATCTCAGACCGACGCGATGTCAGTGGGACAGGTGTTTCGTCGCGGTGCGTGGGACGCGATGTTGGTGGGACCCAGTTGGACGCGAAATCAGTGGGACCGACGCGATATCAGCTGAACGGGCCCGCGAGTGCCCGACAACCCCTGAGATACGACGGCGAAAAAAGAACATCCTGGAAAAGCCACGATCGTGGCCCTGGATCCCATCTTCCCGCTGTATTTCCCGGGCTGCATCGATCTGTCAGGTCCCCCGGGCCCGCCACCGTGCGAAGGCGCCCGACCTCTCTCGCGACGGGGGCTGCGAGGGTGGGCCCGCTCGCCTGCGCTCCCACCCGCAGGCCCCGCCGCGGAGGCCGGGCCCCTCCCTCCCCCTCCCACCACTCCGCCTCCCCCTCCGCCTCCTCCTCCCCCTCCTTCTCCTCATCCTCCATCTCCTCCTCCACCTCCTCCTCCTTCTCCTCTTCTTCCTCCTCATCCTTCTTCTCCTCCTCCTCCTCCTCCTCCTCCTCCTCCTCCTCCTCCTCCTCCTCCTCCTCCTCCTCCTCCTCTTCCTCGGGGCCAGAGCACATGGCGCAGGAGGATCGTGGGTCACCCAAGCGGCAAAAGGAAGCGGGCCTCACGCACGATGGCACGGCGGCGTTTTGCGCGGTGGCGCCAGCGCGGGCCGCCGGCGCGGCACTCGACCACTGGGAACAAGGGCGCTCGCGCGCGGCCGTGCGCAGGCAGCCTGCGGTCGAGCCCGGCTTCTTGCGTCGCTCACCGGCCTGCGCACCCTCGCGCCGCCCCCGTGAGGAGGGCAGCTCTCCATCTCAGGCCGCCGCCACCCGCGGGGGCGCGACCACCTTCGCGGACCCCGTGCGGCGGCCCAGAGGATCGCACTCGGTTCGGCGATGCGTCGGTCATGCGCGCCGACGACGTCAGGATCGGGGAGGCTCGGGACCTGGATCGCCGATGCCTCGACGATGAGACCTTGGAGCCCCTTCTCGCCCAGCCGTGGCGACGAGGCCGCCTGTCGGAGTCCGAAAGGCCCAGAAACGATCCTCAGCTCCGGGCCGCGACATCCGCACCCGCACTTCGCCGCACGATGGGCCGCCGTCTCACGGAGTCATCCCACGACGCCCAGCGCGGGCACTGGAGGCCCGGGACAGCCGACGGAGACGCCGGCCAACTGGGTGCCCACCGAGGAGGTGCAGACCTGAGCCGCTTGGAAAACGACACCGGCGCTTTCTCCAGTTGGGGGGGGGCGCCGACGGCCGCGGCGCGGGCGAGGCGCACCATGCCCAGCACGGAGCCCGCGACGGCCACAACGACGGCCACGCCGTCGACGCCGGCGACGACGAGGACGACGGCGGCGGACACCTAAGTCGCCGGCGACCACAGCGACCACGGCGGCGGCCACGACGGCGGCGGCGGCGTCCTGAGCCGCACTGAGAGCGACACGAGCACCCGCTCCTGGAGGGGGGGAGACAAAAAAGGCACAAGTGCATCCCGCAACTGCGGATGCGAGCGAGGGAGGCGGGGGGGTCATCGGCAGTCCAGGAGGCTCCGAAGAAGCCCGCCGCGGGGGCCGACCTGCTTACATATCACACAACGAGCCGCAGGCGCCGAGCTGAGTTTACATCACGCAACCAGCCGCAGGCGCCGATTATCAGTCAAAGCAATGAGGGTGGGTCGCGGGTTGGTCGCGGGGTGAGTCGCGGGTGGGTCGCTCGTGGGTCGCCGGGTGGGTCGCCGGGTGGGGAGAGGGGGGGTCGCGGGGGTTCACAAGCGAGAGCGACGACAACAAACAGCAAGCAACAACCAGTAAACAACTAGTAAGAAACAAAGCAACCAACAACACACAACAAACAACCCCCACACACACAACAACAACAACAACAACAACAACAACAACAACAACAACACCAACAACTACAACAACAACAACAACAACAACAACAACAACAACAACAATTACAACAACAACAACAACAGCACCAGCAACAGCAACAGCAACAGCAACAGCAACAGCAACAGCAACCACAACCACAACCGCAACCACAACCACAACAACCACAACAGCAACAACAGCAACAGCAGCACCAACAACAATCATGTAACATTTAGTTCGCTCTATTTCGTTCGCGTGCGATTCAACACGTATATCCTGAACCCTCGATACCCGCCCTCTTCGTCTTAGATCGTACCCATTAGCGGAAACTATTTCTTACCTGCAGCCCGTAAGGCAGGGGAAGACGAGTACGGATGGAAGGGAGGGACAAGGGGGAGGGAGAAGGATAGAACACGAGAGACATCAGCAGGTGGGCAAGGAACAGAAAGCAAGTGGCAGAACCAGACGGGCAGATCGGGCGGGCAGACCCTGATGGGAGGGTCGAGAAGGCGGGCCCAGGCGGCAAGGTCGAGCAGGCGGGTTGCTGAAGAGAGAGTCCTGCATGAATCGTGAGGGCGTCTCGAGCGATAGCGCGATTTCTCAGTAAATCGCGAAGAAAGCCGAAGTGAAAGGATGATTCCTGAGTGTCGAAGGCGCGGCGTCTGAACAACTTGCAAGGGAATCCCACGCGATAACGCGATTTCTGCATACATTGTGAGGAAGTCCCGCGCGACAGCGCGATTTTAGAATAATCTGGTGGGAAGTATTCGGCGGGAGCAGATTTTTTTGTAGCCTTGGGGCCAAGGATGCAGTTTGGCCATGAAGACTCTCCCTGGTCAAAAACAGGGTGCGAGCCCAAAGGGTGGCACTTGAACTAGGAAAGCGCAAGGTGCACCAGTGGAGTGGGGAATCATCAATCATTATTTGTCAGGAGTGAGACTTCAACACCAGCAGCATCAGCAGCAGCAATAACAACAACACCAACACTCGCTTTAAGACTGTTCGCTCTTCCCTGCTCGCGTGCAATACAACACATATACCCCAAACCCTCGGTACCCGACCTCTTCGCTTCTGACCGTGCCCACTCTTGGGGGGATATCTTCCGTACCTGCCGCGTGTCGTGGGCGCAGCCCCTACAACAGAAGAAAGAGCGGAGGAAAGAAGAGACAAGGGATGCTGAAACGGATTGAGCACGAGAGACATTTGGAGATGGGCTAGGAGCAGCAACACAAGCGGCAAAACCAGCCTGGCGTGTGGGACTGGCGGACCCGAACGGGAAGGTCGGGAGGGCGGGAGAAAGATTGGAGCAATAACACGATTCCCAAACAAATCGTCGAGGAATTAAAAAAATGCGTAATTTGTGTCCTGGGGGCACGGCGCCGCAATACATGGTGAGGAGATACCGCGCAGGAGCGCGATCCCTGGATAAGTTATGATGAAATCTAGCGATCGAGGGCACTGGGGGGGGGAATGTTGTGGTTGTTGAGCTCTCGCTTCTAAAAAATGATTACTCTTGATCCCTCCTCAGGTAACCGTTGCATGTTTCAATTAAAGTGCTCCTCCTGGTGTTCGCACCCTGTTCCTTACAATGGAAAGCGAAGTGTCATCAAACTGTGCCCCTGGCACCCGAGCCACAACACCAACAGCTACCGCATGACACTTCCTCACCAGTTATTTCACATTCACTTCCTGAGCATGTATGTATTAATCGGAGAGAGCGTGATCCACCGCCGCTTTACTGTCAAAATTGCAGCCCTTTTCCTCCGGAGCCCGGCCCCCCCCCCCCCCCCCCTCCGAAAATCCCCCCCCCCCCCCCCCTGCTGGACCCCCCCCGCTCCCTTCCCCCGGCAACCCCCCCCCCCTCCCCTAACCCCTCCCCCCCCCTAACCCCTCCGCCCCCCCCTCCCCCTCGAAAACCGGGGGGGTCACTACCGGTTCGAACCCCCCCCCCCCTCGAAAACCGGAGGGGGGGTCACTACCGGTTCGAACCCCTCCCCACCCACCCCCTCTCACCGCCAGCAAACGACTCCCGGTCCCTACCACCGTCCTCACCACATCCCCCACTGTTGTTCCCAGCACCACTCACCACCACTGCCCCCACTGGTTCCACCACCGCCCCTACTGTCCCCACCAGTGCCACCACCACTGTCGCACTGTCCCCACTGTCCCCACCACTGTTCCCACCACGGCTCCACTCTCCCAACTTTCTCCACGGCCCCAACCACTGCCCGACTATCCCCACTGTCCCCACTGTCCCACTGACTCCTCCGCTGTCCCACTGGACTGTCCCACTGTTCCCACCACTGTCCACACTGTCCCCACCACTGTCCCCACTGTACCTCTGTCCCATTGTCCCACCGCCGTCCTCGCCACCGCCTTCACCACTGTCCCCACCACCACTGTACCCTCCACTGTCCCACTGTTTCCACCACATTCCCACTGTCCCCACACCACTGTCCCCACCACCACCGTCCCCACCACTGTCCCACTGTCCCCACTGTTCCCGCCATTGTCCTCACCATTGTCCCCACCACTACCGTCCCCACCACTGTCCCACTGTCCCCACCACTGAGTCGCTGTCCCCTCGCCACTGTCCGCACCACCGTCCCCACCACTGTCCGCACCCCCCCTCGGTTTTCGAGGGGGGGGGGGGGTTCGAACCGGTAGTGACCCCCCCGGTTTTCAAGTTCGAAAGGGGAGGGGGGGGGGGTTCGAACCGGTAGTGACCTTCCCCCTTTTCATGATGAGCTGGGGGGAGGGGGGGGGTTCGAACCGGTAGTGACCCCCCCCCGGTTTTCCGGAGGGGGGGGGTATCGAACCGGTAGTGACCCTCCCCCGGTTTTCCGCCAGCAGCGGTAGAACACGCTCTTTCATTAATCGCGCACTCGCCTAGATCTTCCTCGTAATTTATTATGGCGTCGCGCATCTGACCTTTAAGAATTACGCTGCCGCTCCCGCTCTTCTCCAGGTTTACTTGGAAATCGCGCCATCGCTCGAGAAGCCCTCGCGATTCATGCTCACGCTTTGGCAACCCACCTGCTCGACCTGGCCGCCTGGGCCCGCCTTCGCGACCCGCCTATCAGGGTCTGCCCGCCCGATCTGCCCGTCTAGTTCTGCCACGTGCTTTCTGTTCCTGGCCCCCCTTCTGCCAATGTCCCTCGTTTTCGATCCTTCTCCTTTCCCCTTCCATCAGAACACCTTCCCCTGTTTTAAGGGGATACGATCGAAGACGAGGGGGGCGAAGACGGAGGGTTCAGGATATACGTGTTGAGTGGCACGCGAGCAGGTAGGAACCAACAGCCTTGACATGATGTTTGTTCTTGGTGTTGTTTCTCGTTGTCGCTACCCGCCCTCTTCGTTTTCGATCGCGCCTCCCTGGGGGTAGGTTTTACTTAGCTGAAACGACTATGTTGCGCAATCCCTACAACTGGGGAGGGGAGGAAGGATAGAAGGAAAGGGCGCGGGGGAGGAAGAAGGATGGAGCACGCGAGAAATCAACATGACGGGGGCCAAGGGCAAGAACCACATGGCAGAACCAGACGGGCAAATCGGGCGGGCAGACCCGAACGGGCGGGTCGGGAAACAGGGGTCCAGGCGGCCGGGTCCAGCAGGCGGGTTGCTGAGGCGTGGGCCCTGCACGAATCACATAGAATTCTTCAGAAATGCTACAATTCCTGAACCGTGATGACAGGCCACAGCGGGAACGAGATTCCTGAGCTTCAAGGGCGCGGGGTCTGAATAAATTATGAGGACGTTTCACGCGAGAGCGGAACTCCTGCATAACTTGTGAGGATTTCCCACGCGAGAACGCCAATTGGAATACAACGCGGATAACTATCAAGCGGGAGAGCCTGTTGCTGTAAACTGGGGTTCAACTGCCCAGTCCGAGGCTCAACATATTCCTTTTATATAGAAAACAAACTGCGAGCCCAGGAGGAGCACTGCAACTGAAAAACACAATGGGCACCAGTGGGGATGGATGAACAATCATCACTCCTTCGAAATGGGGTGTACGTACTGTGAAAACGATTCAACCTTATCTGCTCGCGTGCCTCTCATGCCGTATATCCCGAATCACCGATATCCGTTTTTTGTTTTTGATGGTAACCCCCTTTGGAGAATATCCTACTTAGCTGCCACACGTATTATGCGCATCCCCTGAGACAGGGGGAAGAGAGGTCGGATGTACGGAAGGGGCACGGATGGAGCCGCAGAGAGACGAGCAGGCGAGAGACGAGGAACAGAAAACACGTGGCATAACTAGACGGGCAGATCGAGGAGGAGGAGGAGGAGGAGGAGGAGGAGGAGGAGGGGGAGGAGGAGGAGGAGGAGGAGGAGGAGGAGGAGGAGGAGGAGGAGGAGGGAGGAGGAGGAGGAGGGAGGAGGAGGAGGAGGAGGAGGAGGAGGAGGAGGCGGGCAAACCCTAACGGGCGGGTCGGAAGGAGGGCCCAGGCGGCTGGGTCCAGCAGGCGGGTTGCTGAAGCGACCGTCCTGCATGATTCGCGAAGAGGTCTCGAGCGATAGCGCGATTCCCGAGTGAACCGTGGGAGAAACCAGGGTAAGAGGGTGATTCCTGAGTGTCGAGGGCGCGGAGTCTGAATACACCTTGAGGAAATACTAGGCTGGAGAAATGGTTGTGAACGGGGTTCCAACTGCTGGCCCTGAGGCTCAAGAATTCCCCATTTAAAAGCAAGCCCGGGAAAAACAGTTTCACTGAAAGACGCAATGGGCACCAGGGAAGTGGGATTCAACAGTGGCCAGTCTATAGAAGCGGGAACGCATACGTGATTTTGAAACTGTCCGCTCGTATCTCTTCGCGCGCCACTCAACAGATCCCTGGGCTAAGAACAGGAAGCACGTTGCAAACCCAGACGGGCAGATCGGGAGCGTCGGCCCGAACGGGCGCGTCGGAAGGCGGGCCCAGGCGGCAGGGGCGAGCAGGCGGGCTCCTGAGGCTCGAGTCCTGCATGATTCACGAGGAGGTCTCGAGCGACAGCGCGATTCCCGAGTGAACCGTGGGATAAACCAGGGTAAGAGGGTGATTCCTGAGTGTCGAGGGCGCGGCGTCTGAATACGAGGAGGTCCTGCCCGATTCACGAGGAGGTCTCGAGCGATGGCGCGATTCCCGAGGACATCGTGGGAGAGGCCGGAGCGAGAGCGTGATTTCTGAGCGTCGAGAGCACGGCGCTTTTTACCAGCGCAGACGGAGCCCAGTGGCGCGACACGACAGACGAGCGACGGACGGCAGACGAGTGTCGAGAGCACGGCACTTGAGTAAACTCTAGAAAGGAATGCAGCGCGAGGACGCGCTTCTTGCATACTTTCTGAAGAACTCTCGCGCGATTCGTGAGCGAGTAAGCGTGATTTCTGAGTGTCGAGAGCACGGCGCTTGAATAAACTCTAGAAAGGAATGCAGCGCGAGGACGCGATTCTTGCATACGTTCTGAAGAACTCTCGCGCGGTTCGTGAGCGAGTATCAGGCGGGCACCGCCGCTGTTGCAAACCTCGGGCAGGGCACAGTCTGGATCCCAGGACTTCCCCTTGAAAAAAAACAGGGTGCGAGCCCCAGGAAGAGCAACATAACTGAACACACACCCTCGGCATCCTGGATAGGGGGATCAACAATAATCATTGTGCAGCAATGCGAGCGCAACAATCCGTTTCATGTTGTTCGTTCTGATGCGCTCGCGTGCCACTCAACATGTATATCCCAAATCCTCGATACCACCTGGGGCATATCGAGGCGCCGCCACGTTAGTTGGCAAAGCCTCCCAAAAAAGATGGGAAACGAGGAGAGAAGGGGCAACGGGGCGAGAGAAGGATGGAGAACGACAGAGATAGTAGGGGGATTAGGAGCAGGCAAGCAAGTGGCAATGCCAGACGGGCTGGTCGGGCGGGTGAGGGCGGGCCCAGGCGACGTGGCGAGCTGCGAGTCGCTGAAGCGTGCGTCCTGCATGAATTGCAGGGAAGTCTCGAGCGATAGAGCGAGTCTCGAGTAAATCGCAAGGGAATCGAATCCACAGCGAAAGCGTGATTCATGGGTGTTGGCGGGGAGGCGATCTAAATAATTGAAGGAAGGACCACGCGAGAGCCCGGTTCCGAAATACTCATAAGGACGTCCCTCGCGAGAGCGTCATTTTGAGTGAACCGTGAAGAAGAATAAATCGAGAGCAGTCGTTGTTGTTGCTGCTGTTGTAGAAAGTCGGGGGCCAGGGGCATAGTCTGACGCCCAAGAATACCCCTTTGAAAGGACAAGATGCGAGCCCCGGGAGGAGCACTTGAATGGAACAACAATGGGCACCGAACGCGGGGTATCAACAATCAGTTCAACAATGCCCAGCCTTCAGAGCCGCCCCGTTCGCCCCCGTCTCGCCCAGCTTCGCTCCTAGTAATCCATCTGGGCGACATGACCACGTTGCTGCCACGACCCCCCCAAACAACAGCAACCCAGCAACCAGCACCGACAACAACCACAACAACAACAACAACAACAACAACAACAACAACAACAACAACAAAACCCTCCCCGTTCTCTCACCTCGTCAACCCCATGATGGAATCTTGTGTCTGTTTCAGCGAAGCCCCCCCCACACATAGAAGCCCTACGGAACGCCATGCGATCCGTGTCGACACCACGCGCGCACCCTATAGAAATGCTCCGGCCCCCCTGTAAAGACCTAGTGAGAGCCCTACAGAACCCTTTCGAAGCATGTCAGAACACTAAAGGAACCTGCTGGGACCCTGTGTCAGAGCCTGACGGAAACTATAGGACCCCTAGCCCCACGGAGCCCTGTAGGGGCCTTACAGGAACCCCACGGACCCCGTGTGATCCCCTCGAAAACCCTACGCAACCCGGAAAGACCCCGAGAGAAACCCGACTGAGCCCTGTACGCCCCTAGAGAGCACTACAACGGAGCATTACGAAGGCATGTAGGATGGTTATAGGAGCCCTTTCGGGACCCTGTAGGATCCGCCCAAGGGCCCTACGGGAAACCGTGAGATCCCTTTGAAGATCCCTTTTTTAATCCCACGGAACTCAAGTAAGGAGTCCTTGTTACGGAAGCCTCCCTTCGGAATCCTTGCGAAGGAAACCCTGAAACCTTTTTGGGGGGAATCCCTAGGAAACGGGTCACTACTAAGAGGCAGGTGCGAACGAGTCCTGGTGAAAGGTTCACCTTCACATACACACACACATTCAATACAAACACACAAAATAAACAGCAGTACGGATCCCATGAGAAGGGATCCCGACAAACAGTGATTCCTTACAGCGGAACCCTTACGCATTAACTCAATAAGAAGGAATCCTTTTGCAAGGATCCCGCCAGACAAAATACGCACGAAGGACTCCGTTGTGATGAACATTGTGAGGGGCCCTCACCAAAGCATCCTTAGAAACCAATCTCTGGTGACGGGTAGTTCTCAAGACACCATTAACTACACAACTCCTTTAAACACACCCAAATGCCGAACATCAACTAATGAACTTCGGATGATCAACCCATGCGCGTAAACCACGATACGGGATCCCTGTCATGGACTCCCGTTCAAAGGAGCCCTGAATCACGAGCCCCATATTCAGGAGTCATGATTGACAAAACGTGTTTAAACAATACGGCCCAAGAATCCTCGATACAGAAAGGGGCCTGACCCAGCAGTCTTGAACGTCATTCGGATGCGAAGGATTCCGCCCGACCTCCTGGAGGGTTCTTCCATACTATCGTTTCGCTCGAGAGTTTTAATATTGGTAAACCCCAAATGAGACTACAGGTGAACATCACAATGAGGACGGGGAGACCGAGAACGCCTCAATTAGGCAGCTATTTTCCGCGTGGCAAGGCCGTTGGATTCCCGCCGCCTTCCAAAGTCACGACCGTCTGCTAAAGCAATCGGATTATCACCGCTTCAGCCCTCCCAGGTAACGAATGTATGCAAGGCTTGCCAGGTCGCGCCCGCGTGTCAGAGCTATGGGAATGTCACCACTTCAGCCTTCTCAAAACACGCACGCGTTGCAGGGCCATTGGGTTCTCACCGCTTCAGCCTTCCCAGGCCAGCCACGAGGATCCCTGAGGAATCCGGATGAAAACCTGAAGAATTCTCGGGAGTTGTGCGAGTCCTGGAGGAATTCGAAGGACTCCCAAGCGATCCTGGGGACTCCTGAAGAGCCCTGAAGCACCCTGCGGGATCCAAAGGGATCAAAGGGAATCGTGAAGAGTCCCGAGGAAACCAAAAAGGAATCCTGCAAAAAGAAACCTGAGGAATCGTGAGGAGTCCAAAGGACTCCTGCAAATTTCCGAGAAACCCTAAGGTACCCGACGCAATCCCGAAGGATCCATGGAAATCCTGCGGACCCTCAGGATCCATCAGAGATCTGGAGGACTCCTGCACCCTGCCGAACCGAAAAAGTCCCTGAAGAACCTTGTGGAACCCCCAAGGAAACCCGAGGAATCCCGGGGAATAGTGTGGATCCCCAGGGAATGCGGAGGATTCTTCAGAATTCCTGGAGAAACCTGAAGGATCCCAACGAGAACCCTCAGTAATCCGGAGTATCACAATAAGAACCTTGAAGATGCATTCCTTCGGGGTTGTTTAAAGTCCCCCGAGATTCCGCTTAAAAGCTATCAGGACCACTCTGGGGGTCTTCCAGGTCCGCACGATTCACTCAAGGCCCTCAGTGGGAGCCTCTAGCAACCCAGCAACCCCCACTGGGGGCCCTTCGGCCCACCAAGGGGGGTTGCTTAGTTGCTGGTTTCTTGCTCACTCCAAATCCAGCTTCATCAAGTACAACGACAAACAACACGCTGAATCCTGGCCAGGGAACCCCACTAGACCCACGCACCCAGGGATGTGTTGAGACCGTTCGGCCCCCTCACTCTGATATGCCGCTGCTTCCTGGACGTGTCCAGGGGTGCGTTCTGATCGGGATTGTTTGGCGAATCCAGCCGTGGCGACGAGGGGATGGTAGCAGTCTCCCCGGGGCATCCGAAGCGGCGTTTTTCAACGCGCAGCCCCAGAGGTCCCGACCCCTGCCCTAGGGCCACTTCTTGTCCCCGATCGATGTTTGATGGGCCCCTGGCCTGGAAAAGGCTCCGAGGGCTGAAATCTGGGAGCGTCGGAGCGGACAAAATCGTGTGGTCGAACATCTGGGTCGGTACCTCTTTCTTCTCTGAGCTCCAGCACGGTGTCATCGACGGCCGGCAGCGCGCGGAGCGTGGCAAGCTGCCTCTGCGACAGCAACTTGGCTGCACCCTGGCTGGCGGCCGTGGGCCGCCGTCACCGTCGTCGTCCACTGTCTCAGCCGTCGCTCGCCGTCGTCAACCGTCGGCCGTCGGCGGTCGTCGGCGGTCGTCGTCTTCGTAGTCGGCCGCCGACGTCCTCGTCGCCCGTCCTCCGTCCGTCGATCGTCGTCGCTGTTTGTCGTGGGTCGTTGTTTGCCGTCGCACTCGGTGGTCGTCCGTCGCCGTCGTCGGTCGTCGCCCGTCGTCGCTGTGATCGTCAGGAGCTGGTCCGACAAGAACCCCCCAACAAAAATGGGTTGGCTCATGGACTGCGCGGGCAGGTGCAAGGCAGAGGGGGGAAGCCCAGGAAGGACAAAGCAGCCTGCCAGATCACACGTTCGCAAGGTGGCCGTCGTCGTTGTCCCCGTCGTCGTCGGTCGGGGAGACGCACGCCGGGCGGGGAGCGTCGTCGACGCCCTGTGCGTCGTCGTCGGGATCATGGGCGGAGGAGGGGTGGGGGGACTCGGCGAGGAGGGGGAGGGAGGAGGATGGGCGATGGGGGTGGGCCCAAAGAGGGCGAAAGGGCGGGCAGCGGAGAGGCACGAGGAGGGAGGAGGCGGAGGGAGGAGAGCGGGGAAGGCACGACGGAGGCGAGAGGAGGAGGCAAGGAGGAGGGCCGCGTGCTTGAGCTGCGTGCTGAGTGTGGGCCGCCCTGTGGGGCAGGCTCTCCCCGCTGCGAGGGCCGGCCGCCCCGAGGGGCGCATGGGCCACCGCAGCAGGGCGGCCCAGAGGAAGTGTAGATGTGTATAGATGTACGTGTTATATATATATATATATGTAAGAAGGAGAAGGAGGAGGTAGTGGCAGGAAGTGAGCGGGAGGCAAGAAGACGAAGAGGAGGGAGGCACGCTGAAGGGAGGAGGGAAGAGGAGGAGGGGGAGGAGGAAGGGGAGCATGAGCAGGAGGAGGAGGAGAGGGATCACGAGGGAGGCGTACAGCTCCCCTCACCGTTATTGCTCAGGCACGCGGCGTCGCAGGCAGGTGACAGCTACCACAACGAGGCCACGACTTCGACGGCGAGAACGAGGCGGCAGCGAGGATAGGGTGCGAGACGACAATGTTGACGGCGATCACGACCACGATAACGGCGACGGAGTCGACGACGAAGACGACGACGACCTCGACGATGGACACGGCGACGGCGACAGCAAGTATACCAGCGGTGACGGCGACGACAGCGGCGGCGGCGAAGCCCACGGCGGCGGCTGCGGGGCCTCTGTGAGGAAGAAGGCGGCCCGCGGCAGCTTGTGGAGGGCCGTGGCGGGGAAGCCGACGTGCGGCGCCTCCTGGGTGCGGAGGGGGCGGCTGTGCCCACTGACCCCGCACACATGTCTGAGTGAGTACAGTCGGCCCGTATCATAATGCGCGGTAAGGATGCAAGGGCCTGGTGGCCATTCCGAAGCCTTTCGAGTGGGGCGCGGCCAGCGAAAGTGGCCGAGGATGGATCAAGGGAGGCAAGGATGCAGGGGTACCCATGGGAAGGTTGCCTGTCCTTATTCTGTGGGTTGACTGTACATGTACAGGTGCCCACACCCCAAAGCCCAAACAAGACATCTCAAAACCAAACGCCACGCCGGGGCCCAGGATGTCTCGGCCTGGCCATGGTGGTCACGGCAAACCGCCTGCTGATCGCGGCGACGCCCTGGCCATATCCCAGGGCACCCCGCGGACACGAAGGACGCAATTCGGGCTGGGATCTGTCCGCAGTGCGACGAGAGGGACTCCGGATCAGAGACGTTGACGTGCCAACCTTCACCGCCGACGAGCCCAAACTGATTAATGTCGCCTGGGCCTATAGTACATGGGTGTACTGATGCCGCCTCCTGACCCGGCCTAAACCTCTGGGGCGGATCCAGCCGTGGCCAGCCGCGAGCCCACACCAAAAAAAGGCACAAGGCGCCCAAAGGCCTTGCTCATCGGATCGTCGCTCTCGCCGCTGCCACCACCGTCCCAGGCAGCCGACGATGTGATTTGTTCCATGCGTGGCCCCAAGGAAGAGGAGGAGGAGGAGGAGGAGGCGGAGGAGGAGGAGGACGCGACTCCTTCCCCGGGGGTCGTTTTCCGTACTGGATTCCTTTTTGGTGACTCTGGCTCCCGGGTCAGACGACGGGCACCAGGAAGCGAAATCGATGGAAACGCCCAGATTGACCAACAATCTGATCCCGCAGGCGCCGTCGTCGCTCCGACGGCCAGGCGGCCCGGGCGTCCTCGACCGCGTCCCGCACGACCTGCGCCTTCGCCTCGCCCGCGGCGCAGATGGCCCCCGGGGAGGGGTGGGGGGCTGCCGAGGCCTGGCGGCGGCGGCGGACGCGTGCCCATGCAAGGTAGGACCTCCTCTGTTGAGTATCGTTTAACCGATTCCCATTCCCGGCGGCGTGGCCTGGGCCTGGGTCCCACTGGCCGGTTTACCCCCCCAGATGGGGATATAGGTCGTTCCCTTCGGGTTTCGAGGGGTGTATCCCCAACTGGGGTGTCAATTTGGTGGGGTCTCGAAGGGGATTGGGATGGGGATGGGCATTGGTTAAACGATAATGATCTGTGGAGGGCGGCTCGGGCACCCCTCGACGGAACGGCGCGCCCTGGGTGCCACACGTCGAGCTGGGCCGGGCGGAGTCTTCATCCGGCAATGGTCCTCGCCAGAAGCCGCTCGCTCCCGCAGCTTCTGTACGTTGGCGGCGCGCAAAAGGAGGCGGAGGGAGGGGGAGGGCTTCTTAGAAGGCGGCTACATCTTAGAAGGCGCCGGCCTTACATCTATAGATAAGGCCCACGGTTTCTAAGAAGCAGGGGTGCTTCTAAGAAGCCCTCCCCCCTCCCCCCCACCCCCCTCTGCGCGTGGCTGAGTACAGCAGCTCCCAGAGCTTCGGTCGGGATGTCCCCTGGAGGCTTTTTCGCAGCGTCTTCGCTGGAGCCAACAACACTTGGCGGGTCGAAGTGACGGGTCCAGCATCATGGGCTCTTACCAGCATTGTCCTCCGGGGGACCTCGGGGAAGGCGGCGCCAGTGCGCCACCACCGTGCCTGGCCAGGGCGGTCCTGGGCCGTGGCGCGGTGTGTGCGGTATACGCTCTCCTGGCCCAAGGGGACCTGGAAGGCCCAGACGCCATCCTGGGGGCCCAGGATGGCCCTGGCCAGGCACGTGGGTGCTGCGCGGACCTCCGGGAGGGAGTGCGGAAGAGCCCACAGGGGGTGAGGAGCGAGGAGCGGGCTCCGCGAAGGCCGCTCGGCGAGGGGCCAGACGTCCGCGTTCGGGATCCGTCGTCGGACGTAGCCGTTGGGGGCCATAGTCGTCGTCGCCGTCCCGGTAGGTTGTCGTCGTCGTCGTCGTCGTCGTCGTCGTCGTCGTCGTCGTCAGCGTCGTCGAAGGTCGCTGGAGGAGGAGGAGGAGGAGGAGGAGGAGGAGGAGGAGGAGGGGGAGGGGAGGAGAGGGAGGAGGAGGAGGGGGAGGAGGAGGAGGAGGAGGCCGGGACGCGGAGGAGGGATGTGGGAGGAGGAGGAACGATGAGGGACGACCAGGCAGATGACGAAATTGAAGCAGGATGGTGGAGAACGAGGAGGGAGGAGGAGGAGGAGGAGGAGGAGGAGGAGGGAGGAGGAGGAGAACGACGGGGGCGAGAGGGACGGAGGCAGGAGGGAGCGACAGATAGGGGAGAGTAGGGAGAGGAGGAGGAGGAATGGGATAGTAGGGAAATGGATGAGGAGCTGGAGAGAGGAAGAGAAGGAGATTTGTGATTTGGGCCTCCCCCGCCTCTTCCTGCGGGCGTACCCTGTACGCAAGCCCAGCTCCCGCTGTCGCTCTTGTTCTTATTCTGAATAGTAGTATTATTTCTCCTCCTCCTCCTCCTCCTCCTCCTCCTCCTCCTCCTCTCACGTATCTTCCTCTTCATTTCTCGCACACCAGCTCCCCTCGCTAAGAATATCCCTCCTTCGCCTATCCTCCTCCTTCTTCCTCCCCCCCCCCCCCTCTGCTCCTCACTCGTCCTCCTCCTGCTCCCCCTCCTTCTCCCCCCACCCTGCGCCTCCAACTCCTCACCCTTCCCTGCTCCTCCTGCTCCTGCTCCTCCTCCTCCTCCACCTCCTCCTCCTCCTCCTACTCCAACTCCTCTCCATCTCTCGCTGCTCCTCCTCTGCCTGCAATTTTCCTCTCTGCTCAATTCTTGTCCGTCACCCTCCCTATTCCCATCCAGGCGAGGTGGGGTTTGATGGGGGCGGGCAATCTCATTAATCGCCCCCCCCCCCAAACGTTCCAGACTCCTCCCACGGAGCCCGCTTCTCGTCCTGGATTGTCCATTTTCATCGTCCCATGACCAGAAACTGTCCCAGGGAAGCCAAATAAGCGGAAAATGCTCGGACAGAGAGTACCAATCCGCCAGAGGTCACCGTGTTCTGCCTTGCAGTGAACTACAACTTGCACCGCCGCCGAGACCTCTCCCCTCTCCCCCCCCCGGGGATGAGCGCGACGCACTTCGGGTTGTAGGTGATGGTCCCCAGACCGATGGTGATGACCTCGGGCGAATCAGGGGGGCAGATGAGGAGGGAGGGATGAGAGAGGAAGGGGGGGGAGGAAGAGAGCAGACGAGGGTTTCTGTGGGTCGCACCGAGCTGGCGTTAGGAAAGGGAGCCAGCTCTTTGTATTGCGGGGAGCGACAGCTCCAGAAGCTGGACCGCCACCTCTGAGGAGGCACATGAGGGCAAGCGGAGGGTTGAAGAGGGGGGGGGGCTTGGAGGGAGAGAGGGAGGACGGAGAAAGATGGCAATGAGGAAGGAAGAGAGAGGAAGAAGGCAGGTGTACACAGAGGAGGGATGATGGCTGAAGGAGGAAGGGAGGGACGGATGTGGGATAGAGAGGAGCCAGGCGGATGAAGGAGAGACTTGTGTGAGAATGGAGGAGCGCGAGGCAAAGAGGAGACATTGGGGGAGACACGGAGGGGGAGGATGGAGGAGGGGGAGGAAGGAGAAAGAGGAGAAGGAGGGATGAGCGAGAAGGGAACAAGGCAGGGAAGAGAAAGAGAGGGAGAAAGAGAGAGACAGGGAAAGAGACAGAGAGAGGGGGAGAGGGGAGAGAGAGAGGGGGGGAGAGAAAGAGATCTCGCATGACAAACCTTGGCGCATTTCCGTTATAAACGCTGGAGGGGAGAACGTGCTGAAGAAACTGGGCCAGCGTTCCGGCAAGTAGGTTGAGAAACACTGGCCCAACTTTTCGGCAGGGGGGTTCTTCATCAGACGCTGGGGTGCGCTCTGACCAGAATCTCGAGGAGACTGCAGCGGTGGCGACGAGGGCCTCCCAGGAGACCCCTTAAGGGGACTACGAAGGAAGGGTACCAGTATGCGTGCCTTTTCCTCCTCCGAGGCACTGGGGCCGAGAGGGAGGAGGCCTGCCCAGGGAAGCTCCCGACGGCCTCGGGGCGCCCCCTGCTCGCCATCGCATGGACGTCCATTCCCCATGCCCTCTCCATCTCGTGTGTGTGTGTGTGCGTTTGTGTGTGTGCGTGTGTGTGTGTGTGCGTGAGAGAGAGAGAGAGACTGTGTGTGTATGAGTGTGTGTGTGTGCATGAGTGTGTGTGTGTGTGTGTGAGTGCGTGTGTGTGTGTGTGTGTGTGTGCGTGTGTGCGTTCGTGCGTGCGTGCGTGCGTGCGTGCGTGCGTGTGTGTGTGTGTGGCTGCATGTATGTATGTATGTCTGTATGTATGTATATATGTATGCCGATATGTATGCATGTGTGTATGTACGCATGTACGTATCTATGTATGGATGCATGTATGTATGAGTGTATGTATGAGTGTATGTGTGTCTGTCTGTCTGTCTGTCTCTGTCTCTGTCTCTGTCTCTGTCTCTGTCTCTGTCTCTGTCTCTGTCTGCATGCATGCATGCATGTATGTACGTACGTACGTACGTATGTATGTATGCATGTATGTATGTATGTCTGTTTGTGTGTGTGCGTGTGTGTGCGTGTGTGTGTTGCTCTTGCACGATGAGTCAAGAAGCTTCTCGAGTGCCCTCGCCGAGAGAAAGTGCACACGCCCGAGCGATGCCAAGCACCCTGGACGCTGCGGGCGCCCCCCCCTGGGGCCAAAATGGACCCGAGTCACCATGCGGACGCAGCCACTGGGGCCTTGGGTGGAGCTCCCTTCTGGGGCCACGAAGCGTGTGAGGGGTGTGCCAGACTGGACCCGAGTAAACATGCGGAGGCAGCCACTGGGGCCTTCTGTGGAGCTCCCCATGGGGCAACGAACGGTGTGAGCGTGTCCGTAATGGGTCCGAGTAACCAGACGGAAGAGGAGAGGAGGAGGAGGAGGAGGAGGAGGAGGAGGGGGAGGAGGAGGAGGAGGGGGAGGTAGAGGAGATGAAGGAGATGGCGGAGGAGGAGGAGGTGGAGATGGAGAAGGAGGAGGCGGGGAAAGAGGACGCGCGCGGCACTGCGACCTCAAACCGAGGACCCACCGCGCAGGAATCTTGGGATTCAGGACGCCGCACGTCTGGGGGCGGGGGTCACCACCAGACAACCCCCCTTGAGCGACGAGCAGGCACGAGTCTCACGCCAGATGACCTGGTGACCTCACGCGACGGCGTGCGCACGACGCCAGCGCGGAACGCGGAACGCTACATTGGAAACCGGGGCGCCTACGCGCGACCTTACGAGGGGCAGTTTACGCGCGAATGCTCGCGCCGTCAAACGCGTTCTGTTGGCGTCGCTCCTCTGGCCGTGGCTACGAGGGCCCGACGAGGGAGGCCCCGAAGGCCAACGGAAGGAACACAAGAGACGTCTGGATCACCCCTTCCTGGGGGTGATCCAGACGCTTCTCGTGTTCCTAGCCGGGTCGGCAGCCGAGTCGGGAAACGTCGGAACGGCAGAAATCGGCAGGCTTGTATGCGTCCAGTGAGAAATCGAAGCCCACATCGGAATCCCAAGTCGGATCGAATCGGAATGGAAAGCCATCGAAGTCGAATCGAATCGTATCGAAGGAAGCGAAACAAGCCCTACCCCAGGGGGCCCGAACTTCTCCACCCCCACCGCCTGCCGAGGTCCCCCAGAAGGTCGATCCCCTAGACGCAGATCTTGAGAGGAAACCCCGCCTCAGATTAGGTCGGACATGTTCCCCTACAGGCGGATTTGGGGCGAAGCATAAAACATATCAACAAAACAAATTTTCAAACCTATTCCAAAAATCATCCACAAACTATATTTTGACTATTTTTGGATACGTATTCCCCCTGTAGAGGGACAGGCCCGACTTAAGCCTCGGACCGCCGCCCTCACAGCAGGTTGTCGCCGCCGCCGCCCGAGCAAGGACCCTAGGGCACGTCCCCCGGAACGCGTCCAGACAAGGACTCCGACCCAGGCCTTCCAGAGTGCCACAAAAACACTCCAGACCTATAGATCTCAGGACTGCCTCAAACCTCCACAGGAATTATCACGTCGACGTCCTGGTGCTATTTGTTTGCCCTCCTGGAAGGTCAGGGGAGCTGGGTCTGGCCGAGGCGACGAGGGGTCACCCGACGCAGAAACGAGCAAAATCGACGGGGGCCCCCTCTCGTCCAGTCGTAGGGCAACAAACGATGGCACAAACATAGAAACTCGGAGGTCCGCGCGGATTCCTCGGCCGAGAAATCCGCGCGAATTTCCCAAGTTTCTATTTCATGCCATTGTTTGTCCCCCTAAATCGGGCCGCAAGCGTAAACGTATGAGCCCACTCGGGTCGCACCTGGGCTCCTCAGAGGTCATCGGCGAGGTGCAGCTGAGAGACAAACGACGCCCAGGGGCCGAGACCCTGCAGGGGTCCACACCAAACTCAGAAAAAAAACGACGTCCTCGTCACAAATCGTTGTCGTCGTCGTGATCATTCCTCCTCCTCCTCCTCCTCTTCCTCCTCTTCCCCAAGCCACAGAACTCCCGACCCTCTCGACCACCTCTCGATCCGCATCGTCTTCTTCGGGCCTTGGGACCGGAATGCGACCCCCGCCCCAGCGGCCCAGAGATCGAAGAGAGAACGCCCGTCGCGATCTCATCACGGCGCCCGGGCGTCTGAGGCGTCCTCACTCGGAGGAGGGCCACGTGAGACAGCGGCGGCCCTCCCGCCCGGCCCCAAATCCCTTCGAGAACAATCCCCAAATTCCTCCCCGGGCCCACCCGGACCTGCTTGTCGAAACGGAACTAGCCCTGGCGACGAGAAGTCTCCATTGAGCAGGGACCGACCGTCCCGGCATTCCTATAGGCCTTAGAACATAAACCCAATATGTTCAAACAAGACAGTCCCGCCAGAAGTGTTCTAAGAACATTTCGTGGAAACCACAAGAGGCTCTTAGAATATTGTTGCCCTATTGGCACGCCAGGACGCTTCGCCTGTGCTTGACCCCAGGAGGCTCAGGAAGGCCGGCAGGCCCGCCCCGTTGTATCGCCGTTGCCGTCGCCGTCGTCCGCGCCCCTGCCGCCGTCGTCGAAGGTCTGCGCTGTCGGCGCCGACAGCCAGCTGCGGCCAGGCGCCAGCGAAGGCCTTCGGCCGGGGGCGGCAACAACAACGGCGGCGGCCATAGGTGGACGAAGGCGATGGCGTCGCTGGAGGGTTTCTCCGAAGGGCTTAGGCGACCCGTCCTCCTCCTCCTCCTCCTCTTCCTCCTCCTCCTTCTCCTCTCCTCCTTCTTCTCCTCCTCTTCCGCCTCCTCCTCCTCCTCCCATTATCCTCCTCCTCCTTTTCCTCTTCCTCCTACTCCTCCTCCTCCTCCTCCTCCTCCTCCTCCTCCTCCCTCCTCCTCCTCTCCTCCTCCTCCTCCTCCTCCTCCCCCTCCCCCTTCCCCTCTTCCCCTCCCCTCCTCCTCTCCTTCTCCCCCTCCTCCTCCTCTCCTCCCTCCTCTCTCCTCCTCCTCCTCCTCCTCCTCCTCCTCCTCCTCCTCCTCCTCATTCCCTCCTCCTCCTCCTCCTCCTTATCCTCCTCCTCCTCCTCCTCCTCCTCCTCCTCCTCCTCTCGGTTTCCCTTTCGCTCGACTACATAGCACGACGGAACCATGGCAGGTGGCAGCTGGTCGTGGAACAAGAATGAGGGCTCGCGACGTGGCACAGGAGTTGGAGAGAGATGGAAGTGCGCCCACGCGGGCTGCGGCTGCGCCAAGGGCCTCAGTTGGCTCACGTGGTGCAAGCTCTGCCGCCGCCCATGTTACGAAGTCGTCGATGATAAGTTCGGGGGCCACTCTGGCGAGACGGGCGGCGGCAGGAAGAACTAGCAGCGTGGAGGAGGTGGCGGGGAGGCGCTCTCGCTCCTGGGGGCGCCACCATGCCACAAGACATCACGATCGCCGAGATCGACGCGCTGCTGGCCATGGCCACCAAGTTCGGCGACGAGGGCGCAAAGTCCCAGTACCAGGTCTGGAAGAAGCAGGAGCCTGACGCTGCCAAAGGGCCAGTTGAGAAACCCTTGGAACGACAGACAGGCCAACGAGGCGTTCCAGCAGGTACGCATCTGGGAGAAGCGTCTCCACCGAGGGCTCGACAAGCTGGAGAAGGCCAAAGTGGT